GACCAGAAAACCAAAGTTCTGAAAGTGAGCTTGCCCAAGGTCTCACCATGGCAAAGCCAATATTAGAATTTAGGTATCGGAGGGTCTATGACTACAGAAACAAATCAGGTGACAAATTTATTAATATATCCCAAATCCCTTCTTTAACATTGCTCTCTTTTTTTTTACACAATCTAATGTTACCTATTTTTTCATACTCGTTGTACTTGAAAGTTACACAGATGCCATTTTGTCCATTTTGTTGCCCTGTGGTTGGATATGCATAGCCTTCTTCAGGAATTGGAGGAAACTTGGGAATAGAATGAATCAGCCAGAACCCCTGGTCTTTGTTCCACAGCAGTAAGCCTACCAAAGATACAGTTAATACAGATAAATTGGAAAAACAAAGCTCCTTTTTAAAACAGAATTGAAAGTTGCAACATTTAAGTCCATTTACCCTTCAGGCTAATATTTTATTAGGCTGATAACTACGAGGATCATGCTTATTTTTTCAAAGACTTCAGTACCAATTCAGGTATGCATTACATTGCCCCACTGCAGATCATAACCCACCACAAAAGGGGATCACGGGCAGCCACCCTGTGAAGAGTTCGGAGGAATTTCATTGCAACCACAGGAAAATTTGTTTTGGCAGAATGCAAATTTGCTGAATTGGAATTTGACCTTGTTAAACTATACAGTCACCTGGGACGCTCTTCAGATATATACTCGTACGTCTTCACTGCTAAGCAGCTAAGCTCTTTTCAAAAGCTTAAAAAACAGAGTTGAAAGAGAAAATATCAAATGAAGAAATGTACTTGCAGTAATTTGTTGTAAGAAACAGATGCTCATTTATTTGCAGAAGAGTCACCTAATTCCCAACAAAAGAGGCAAAGAGAAAAAAGGGAAGCCATGCTAAAGCATCCCCGTTAATTGTGTTTAGTAAAATATCTCTAGAGCAAATTAACATGAAAGCCAGAAAGGAAGAAAACAGAAAGATTTTCATCACCTTGTGACCTGGCAAAAAGAACCCTGTCCAACAGGTGTCTATGACCATTTCTGTGTTTATAAACATATCAGGGTGGTTTGGGGATGCTAACTAGACTTTCCCATTTGCATATGATGACGCAAACATAAAACATTCATGTTTGCCTTATTGTTAAGTGGACACCAAATGCCTGCCAGCTATTTTGCTTTCAAAAACACAGTTTAAGAAAGCACTCTAGTTCTCTCTTAGGGCCTATAGAATCAATAACAGTGTGTGGGTAGAAAATGTTCAAGGTTCTGTTGCCTAACTGAGCTGGATGACTTTCAGGGGCTCTTTTCTGCCTAGATGAGTGCGCTGTTTGGCTGGAATCCTACCCTCCTCTATAAATGCCACAGGATATCAGG